AATATAAAAATGTGTAGCATTATAATTGTGACACTAACTTCTTTCTTCGTATTCATATTTATTCGATACCCATGAGCAGACCTCTAATGCTAAGGTACTTATTTTCCTTTTTTTATATCCGATATATTATTATTTGATAAACTTATTATTTGTTGCTTTATTTTTAGTAGTCGTTTATATCTAAAGACAGTTGTATGGATTTGTAAAACCAACAAATACAGATATGAGGGACTACAAGACATTTTGCGGGGGATGATGCTTGGCAATTGTACATCATAAATGGCAAAGGTCGCTGCTTAATTTACCATAAAATGTATGTAAGCGTTGTCTTTCGTAAAGCCCCATCATCTTCTAACTACCAGAGGCCTTAGAAGTTTTTTTCGTCAACGATTTTGTTCTTTACCATGTAATGACTTTATTTACATGCCTTATCATCATAATCATCGATGTGGTTTCTTTACAGCAGCGAAATACTTCCGTTTCCTGTTTAATAAAGTTACCCTAAGAAAGCCAATCAGTCCACCCATACGCACATGTCACAAAGGTAGGAACAACACCAGCCAAAAGGCAAACGACGACGATGGGCACAACCCTGAGAGAACGTGCGTTATTTAGAATCCTGATGATGAGATATTTATTTTCTTTTCCCTGGCATTTTTCTCATTTGCCAGGGATGTGTGTGTGTGTGTGGTTGCTTACATCCGTATTAACTGAGTGTTTCAAATGCTTGCCTTTTCTGACATGTTGTTGCTTCTATGATACTACTTAACCTTTCAAGTTGTTTTCGTGAAGAAAGTCGTCAAGAAGTTCACGTCATTGTCTAATACGGTGAGTTGTTTCTGATTTCTACCATGTTGTGGCTCAGCTCCCCTCCCCCATCTTCGTGCTGTGCCATTGGAAACAAACACTGTTTGCCAGCCAGTTTATGTCCTTTAGGGCAAATAAACAAAAAAGTGTTACCTTCATTCTTAAGAAGAATTTTGCTTTAGGCTTAGCATAACTGACATTGCCAACGTTTCGTATGATTATTTTTCTTCTTCATCCCTTAGGATACGACGCATTTTTTCATTTTAGCCTTGAGTAAGAAGATTTTTTTCGACATTCGATTTGAAGCCTTAACACATGGTATGTTCTGGAGTAACTAAGTACAAACAGAACAGAACACGGCAGGAAATATTAAATAAATTTTTTTTTTATGGAATCCTGCTCATCTTGTGTTTGGCTAATACGACTTCATCACAAAATCAGAATTATTTTCTTGCCTAATCCTCAAGTATTAACATAGCTATTTTTATTAAAACGATTTCAATATTGGTATGGCCAACTTTGTAGACAAATGAAAATTAAACCATGAAATTTCATAAACTGGAGTTGTTTCGACCAAACAAAGTAACCATTTCGAGAAGAATCATTTATCAATCAACAATCAATTAAATGCCATTTCTCAGGCATTGGTTTTTGACCCTCGTTTGTTAAGAAGCTGTCACACATGGCTAAATATCTTTGTTATCATTTTTTCTTTTCTATAACCAAATACAGAAAAGGATAACTTTTCAGAAGGGCTAACTAGGAAATCCTTTTTATCTCTGGACTGTAAAGTGGCGTTACTAATTACAGACATTCCTTATGGTAATGTACATATGAAGATATCTGTACAATAGAGTAGCTTCTTGAGCAATGCATATTAAAATAAAAAAAAATCCTGCCATGTACTATGTGTTGGGTATTATAAGTTTGATTGGGCCAACAATTATATAACACCTCGAAGTATTGGTTTCCCACATAGGAAATTAAATATGGATCTTCCTATCTCGCCGAGCTGAGTCGATCTAGCCATGTATATCCGTCTGTCCGCCTGTCCATGTTAATTTGTAATCACTCTACAGGTAGCAGTTATGGCCCGATCTTCTCGAAATTGAAAACGGAGGTGGGGTTAGGGTCAGAATAGAACACTATTTTCCTGACTTTCCAGTTGCTCTATAAAATACAATTATGCACTTGGAGTTAGAGTTTAGGACTGGGCAGAAGCCTACCAATCGCCCATCGGACAATATTTAGCCGGTAAAATAGACCCCAACATTTATGTAAGGAAATAAGAAAATTTCCACTAAACCGCGAATACTTTTAATTCCAGCCAAATCACAAATACATTAAAAGGTCACTTCTGACCATTAAAGTGATGATGATAGCCAAGAAATCGGATATATAGCAGAATAGGTACAATATATATGTGTCAAAGAATAGATCTTATTTATTCTGCTTATAAGTCAAGAACCGCTGGGCCGATTTTCACAATTCCCATAAATTCGAAATGGTCCTTGCTCAAAAAGGATGAAATCTAAGAAAATCGCTGAAAAATATAGCAATAAAAAAGTGAATATATATTGTTCCTTTTTTAAATTTTTGTCATATTTTTTATCGCATGCGATTTTTTCAATTTGACTTACATTTTTGAATTATACATTTTTTAAATTTTTACACCCTGCAACACTACGTTTTGAGGGTATTATATGCTTGTCGCAATTATCGTCCAATCCTCACGAAATTTTGCATGGGGTAGAGTTAGGGTCAGAATTAAAGCCTATTGTTCTTAAAATTTACATTTAGGGGTTCAAATGGACTAAATACATTTTTCTAATTTTGTAATCGTTCTATAGACAATTGAAAACTAATCGACACGGAATTTCGCATCAGAAGAGAGTTAGGTACAGGGACATTATTTTTTGACATTATTTCAACAACGTTATTACTTAAATGGATTTGGACACAAGGGAACTTCGAACAAATTGTAATAAAAAAAATATTTTTAAAATCAATCATGGGATATTAACCATTAACCGCATTTGCCAGATTTACCATGCAATTGAAAGATTGAACACTTAGGATCAAATTTTTGAGAGAACATCCAGGCATTTACCTTACCTAACTTTTAGATATTAGAGATCGGCTAAAATATGGATGTGCTCCCATATATCCTTAATCCGATTTCAGGTTTATTTTGCATATAACATCTAATGGCGGAACTCGGTTCGTAAAAATCCGCAAAAAATACTAAGTCGATTTAACGATGTCCGTCTGTCTGTCTGTTGAAATCACGATACAGCCCACCTCAAAATTTAGCAGAACAATTTGTATTGTGTCTAGGATCATTGAAATTGAAAATTAGATATATCGGTTCACGTTTTGGTATAGCTCCCATACAACGGTACCTCTCGATATTCGGTATTTTGATGATTTTTCCACATTTTTTCGCGGATTTGTCCAAAAATTGGTATTTGTTGTCATAATGGGTTCTAGCTCCGGAGGCGAAACATTGTATGTTTAGGTCCAATTTTTGATAGAGCTCCCATACAACGGTGCCTCCCCATATTCGGTATTTTGATGGTTTTTACCACATTTTTCCATGGATTTGTCTGAAAATTGGTATTTGTAGGTCATAATGGGTCCAAGCGTGGCGCAACATTGTATGTATAGGTCCACGTTTGGCATAGCCCCCATATAACGGTACCTACCGATAGTCGGTATATTGATGATTTTTGTGACATTTTTCACGGATTTGACTACAAATTGGTATTTATTGGTCATAATGAGTTCTAGCTCCTATGGCGAAGCATTGTACGTATAGGTCCACGCTTTGAGATAGCTCCCATACAACGGTACCTCCCGATATTCAGTATTTTCATGATTTTTGCGACGTTTTCCCGCGAATATGTCTAAAAATTGGTATTTGTGGGTCATAATGGGTTTTAATGTGTCCGGCCAAAATGGACCGGCCAAACTTAATGTTTTTTTACTTGTTTTAATATAATATTTCTCGAAGTGATATCATACATTCTATAGCAATGTTATTTGGTATAAAATATTAAAATGTCTCCGTCAAATTTGGTGAAAGTCGATTATGAATTGGATAGGCTTTGCTCTCTGGCAAAAAAAAAAATAATATATGTAAAGTGAGAAATCGTTTTACCCACTTTAATATCCACAATGTAGCCGTCTGCAAATTTCGACATATGTTTTTGACACATATTTTAGTTATTCTATCTATTCTATTCAATTTATTTTGTTATTTATATTCGAATTGTTTGTTCATCTTTTATTAATTTAATCCTTGCTTTTTTATGTTTCTTTACAGGAAAAGGTCCATGATTATTGCCGTTGACTGGTATCCCGAACATTTCATGAATGTGCGTATTAAAATTCGATTTGCGTGTTATATGCGAGTTTGCAACCAGACATTTCCGTTAGTGTCCCATTGCTTTTGTGTCAATGGATGTGCTTTTGGGTTTTTTCCCTCCGAATGCTGTGGGCCAAACGTGTGATAAATAGCAGTGCGCGTATGTGTGAGTGGAGATTTTAATACACAAGGTTATATTACCTTGTGCTTGGCCATCTTAAGCCAACATGCCCAAGTGGCGAGTCATGTGCTAGGTAATGCGTACAAAAACAACACTTTAGTGGTCCTCGTGGGTTTGTTTACTCACATCCGTATTCGTGCCACTGAGCAGTGAGTGTTATTAAGGAGATAGTGTAAAATCGTGTATATGCTTGGAATCAAATCCACATGTGCCCTCGTTTACATCTCACCAAATGAACATTCCTAAATATCAACCCAACAATGTTCCAAAATATAAACAGCCCACAAAATATACTTATTTTCCGCCACAAATGTATATTCCGAGTGTGTGTTTTTAGTGTTAAATATGAAAAATGAATTATTAAAGCTAATCCGACCGAGCATAAATCATTTTAAGTGAAAGATAAAAATAAAACTCTAAATTCAGAATCAAATGAAACGTAGTGTGTGTGAGTGAATAGTGAGTGTGTTATACAAAATATACAAGTAATATGCCATTAATTATTAAAAAAAAATATATAGTACCGTATTAAGTTACATATGTTTTTGTACAATTGTGTTCAATTTAATGGAACAAAGCCTATAAAGTTGCACAGGAAAATTAAACTTTAATTGCTTTAAAAACGTGAATTTTATATCATTTCAGTTTCAAAGTCAATTATATCTGCACCGATAACAACATAACACACGAACTATTAACTACATCTAATTCCAGTTAATCAGAATTCTGTGACACAGGAGCCATTATTGGCATCCTTGCTTGTTGTGGGAATTAAAACTAAATTGAAGCAAATTGATTCTCAGAATGCAAATCATGTGGTAAGTTTTACAATTTTTTTGTGTTATGATATTATTTGAATGAAAAATATATTTGTTTCAAATTTAAATATTAGTAATATAACAATGTTGGTGGATATCTGGACATAAAATGCATTCCATAATATTTTGTTAAGCGGATATTTTTCAAAATGTATGCGCCACCTCAAAATGGATGCTGAAGTTATACCCGGCATCACTCTGTTGTAGAGACTATTATGTCTTTGTTCATTTTTTGTAGCATGAGCATTTTTTTATTATTTAATTTGAAAAGCAAGTTAGAAAGTTTTAATAGGGGTTCCAATAACATTTTAATACTTGCTTATGTACACTACTTTGGGGGACGTGCCAAAAGATGTGAGTACCAATTTTGGAATGTGCGTAGTTTGAAGATAACTGAAGAATAAAATTGTATTTAAGAATGTTATGATTATTATTGATTATATTAAGCGAGATTTAATGCTGTCTAATTGGGCTTTGTAAAGTTTGAAGAAAATAGGAAACTGATTTCACATTTTACTAGAGTTATTATTATTTAAACTTTTGGGTACCAGAAAATTGTACATTGATTTCTTATTTTAAAAGAATTGCCCTTATTCAAAATTTCGACTTGTTATGAGATGGATCTAGGTTGACCAATATTAATGATTTTCGATAGTTCTGGAGAGAGTTGAACAATATTTTCCATTTTCGCAAGTGAACTAAGTTTTATCACAATTTGCCATGTTTAACTATATCAGGTACTCCCTCAATTTTTTCATAAGCTCGAATTAAAGCAAATATATTAGGATGTGCAAAGTTTAACGAAAATCGGACACTGATATAATTTATTTATTATTATTATTATTATTATTATTATTATTATTATTATTATTATTATTATTATTACTACTATAACATTTATATAAATATATAGACAACTAGCTGAGTCCGGTGCGCTTCGCTATTTGATTTTATATACGAATATTTGTTGGTTAAAAAAAAAAAACAAAACGTGATTATTGTAACACTTTAATGCATAGACAACATTCCAAAGACGGGAACATTTCAAATTAAGTCGTCATAAACAAAGGGCTACTTCATTCGGTTATATAATTTTAATAGCAAATTGCAGGCGTGCAGTCTTTTAAAGATGAGTGGCATTTCTGTTGCAATTAGTGAATTCGGGGTAGCAACATACTTCCCCATAATAATAGTATCCTCAATTAAATTGTTGTGTAGTTTTTCACTGTTAGCCTAATACCCTTGCAAAGGCGTTGTGGGTCAATGCTTCCTAATAAAATCATATCTGAACCGATTTAAATATAGTTTAACAAAATTTACTTTTAGACCAAATTCCGTTACACCTCCTATATTAAATTGAAATTGGAGGTAAGTACCTTGTTTGGTGCATCACGCACAAATCCCGTCACACATTCCAAATTTCATTGGAATCGAACATATCGTTCAATATAATTCAGTATACATATATATCAATATAATTCAGTAAAATTATTTTTGTACTAAATTTAGTCACCCATGCTGAATCGGACATTAGTATCGTGTTTGGTGAATCAAATCTGTGAAATCGGCCGAAAATATATATGCGAGCTATATCCAAATCTGAACCGACTTATATGGGAGCTATATCCAAACTTGAAACCATTTCAATATAAATTGGCAATTTTATTTTTGTTCGAACATATCGTTCAATATAATTCAGTATACATATATATCAATATAATTCAGTAAAATTATTTTTGTACTAAATTTAGTCACCCATGCTGAACCGGCATTAGTATCGTGTTTGGTGAATCAAATCTGTGAAATCGGCCGAAAATATATATGCGAGCTATATCCAAATCTGAACCGACTTATATGGGAGCTATATCCAAACTTGAAACCATTTCAATATAATTTGGCAAATTTATTTTTGTTCCAAATTCCGTTACTCATTCCAAATTTGGAGACTGTATCTGTAATCGATCAATAGATATGTTCATATAAAATCTTAATTTTTGGGAGGTACCTCCGATACCTCTGATGCTATATCTGCAGTTGCAAGTGGATTTAAAAAACGTGATTATTGTAATACTTTAATGCATAGACAACATTCCAAAGACGGGAACATTTCAAATTAAGTCGTCATAAACAAAGGGCTACTTCATTCGGTTATATAATTTTAATAGCAAATTGCAGGCGTGCAGTCTTTTAAAGATGAATGGCATTTCTATTGCAATTAGTGAATTCGGGGTAGCAACATAATTCCCCATAATAATCGTATCCTCAATTAAATTGTTGTGTAGTTTTTCACTGTTAGCCTAATACCATTGCAAAGGCGTTGTGGGTCAATGCTTCCTAATAAAATCATATCTGAACCGATTTAAATATAGTTTAACAAAATTTACTTTTAGACCAAATTCCGTCACACCTCCTATATTAAATTGAAATTGGAGGTAAGTACCTTGTTTGGTGCATCAAATATGAGAAATCTCTCGGTCGATATATATGGGAGCTATATCCTAATCTAATTAATTATTGTAACCAAATTCCGCCACACATTCTGAATTTCATTGGAATCGGACATACATAGTGTGTTTGGTGCTAACATACATGAAATCGGCTGAAATATATACATGGGAGTTATACCCAAAACTCAAGTGATTTCATTATAAATTTGAAATTTCTTTGGAACCAAATACATTCTCTTTGCTCGAATTTCATTGAAATCGGACATACATATCGTGTTTGGTATATCAAATATGTGAAATCGGTCGAAAATATATATGGGAGCTATATCCAAATTAGAATCGGTTCCTACATAATTTGGCAAATTTATCTTCTGAACAAATCCCGTCACACATTCCAAATTTCATTGGAATCGAACATATCGTTCAATATAATTCAGTATACATATATATCAATATAATTCAGTATACATATATATCAATATAATTCAGTAAAATTATTTTTGTACTAAATTTAGTCACCCATGCTGAATCGGACATTAGTATCGTGTTTGGTGAATCAAATCTGTGAAATCGGCCGAAAATATATATGCGAGCTATATCCAAATCTGAACCCACTTATATGGGAGCTATATCCAAACTTGAAACCATTTCAATATAAATTGGCAATTTTATTTTTGTTCCAAATTCCGTTACTCATTCCAAATTTGGAGACTGTATCTGTAATCGATCAATAGATATGTTCATATAAAATCTTAATTTTTGGGGGTACCTCCGATACCTCTGATGCTATATCTGCAGTTGCAAGTGGAATTTCAAAAACGTATATAGCCTATGTTACTTTCAGGCGATGTTGTAGTATACTTGGAAATGTTCAGGAAAATCTGTTTATCGGGTTTCGAGTCCATAAATTACAAACAATAATTTTCCTCTTTTATAGATATAGATTACATCACAGAAGGCTAATATCGCCCAAATATCGAAAATGACGAAAACGTGGACCTGTACAGACAATGTTCTGTTACAGGAAATAGAATCGATTATGCACTCTAAATACTGAATTTGAAGTGATTCTGCTGGAAAATGAGGAACAGGTTAGCGGACGAAGGGAAATTTTGGAATTTTTTTTCACAAAAGTTTTAATCTATTTTATATGTCATATAGTATTCGATGACCATCTAAGTGGTAATCTTCTGCACTGTCCTAAACACTATTCAAAAGCATTGGAGTTTAACTATGGGCTATTTAAACAAGTAAATTGTTTGCGATCATCTGCAAAATAAATAGGCTTTTATTCTGACACTAGCCCTAACTCCATTAAAATTAACAAGGAGAAATGGACGAACCGACTAACATAGCTAACTGATTATATTGTTGTAGGATATAATGAAATCAAAAAGTCAAGTCAAGTCTGATGTCCTTTTTGGATACATAACACTATATATATAGCTTTCCGGAAATTGTCTTAATTTACAATAATTTCCTCTAAAAAGATCTCGAAATTAATTTGAAAGAAATTTAAACCATAAACACTCAAAGTTCATTGTACTCAGAATCATGACGCCTAGGTATTGCCAAAATAATTATTATCTTCATCAACATCAGAACGGACAAAATTCCGCCCACCCATGCATGTAAAATAATTGTTGATGTATTTTTGTTTATTTCCTTTAGAGAAAATGCCACATGAAAACACTTCAATTACACTCAGCTAAATATAGTCATATATTCTCAGAAACGCTTGTTTATGCCCGGAGATGGCGAGTTGAGAGCTATGTATATTTTGTTTTGTTTATATGGTGTGTTTTTGACATATTAAAAATGTGTTCATAATGCTTTGCAACTAAATTGAACTGAGACTGGAAACGTTTTTATGAAAGACCTTGTTGAGTTTGTTTTAAGCACCAAAAGGAAAATATCCTGATTTTTTTTGACGTGATTGATTTTGACATAGTAAACCTATGATGCAGTATGTCTTGAGCCACATCTAATGAGGAAGCTTTTTTAAAGAACACTATTGACGTCCTTCGGTGCTTGAACCGTGATCAAAGTATTTTAAAATGAGAATACCTTGTCATATAAATTCTACTGTTTGAAGTCTTTATAAAATATGATATAAAACATTGCAGCTTTGTATTAAGTGCTTTAGACAATATTCATGCATCATCCCATTACGAACTTCAAATACGAAATTTGTTACAATTTCGGTGAATAATGTCGCAAAAATCATGAAAGTACGGATTATCGGGAGGTACCGAAGACTTGGACCTACACGGACAATTTTCTGTCTTAGATTGTATTACCCATTAAGATCTTCCAGTATGATATTTGAAACAATTTCGGTGAATAATGTTGCCGAAATCATCAAAATACCAAATATCGGGATGTATTGTTATATGGGGGCTATACGAAGACTTGGACCTGCATACAAAAATTTTTGTCGTAGGCTGTAGTGCCCATTAGAAACTTCCAGTACGAAATTTGAAATGATTCCGGTAAAAAATGTTCCTGAAATCGTCAAAATACCGACTATCGGGAGGTTCCGTCATATGGTGG